TAAAACGAAGTCAAACGAACACTAAACTTTGATGAAAAAATAGTTTTTGAGCAAAATTTTTTTTTTTTTTTTTCTTTTTGGCAATGGTAACGAATTTCATAACCAATTGTAAAAAAAATATTCAATGGACAATTTTCATGTAAAATAAAGCCAAACGTGAACAAAAAATCCAAAATTTCAAAATTTTTTCAGGTGGAAAATTATATCAATCAAACACACTTAATTAACAATTCTCTGGAAAACAATTTTTAAACAATTACTTTTCCTGAAATTCATTTTCTTTCCACCCATTTTCCACCCTTGCAATCAAATGGACCCGTAGTGTTTTTACCACAATTTTACATCTAATGATCCTGCTAACAACCCAAGTTTTCTTCCTCAAATGCTTGGGAGAGAGAATGATATCCTGACTCCAAGGTGCTGCCTAAGAAAAAAGTCACCATTTTTGGTGCCTTGGATTTCATATAGCTATTAAGGGAACTGAGGACCAGAGAATGACTTCACAATGAAATTCCCATAACTGGCCCCATCCAACAATTTGACCCAATTATATTTGCAAATCTGTTTTCATCTTATAATTTTATGCTGGTATTCTATTGTTGTTTGGCTAAGTACCATTGATGGCGAAAAAGTATCCTGTATTTGTCCTAGAATGTTGCCAATGTAATCAGTTAGGTATTAGAAATTCGGGAAAGAAGAACACCTTATGATTTAAACTGATTTTTAAATTGATGCAGTGAATACATTGTTGATCTAATGGGTGCTCCGGGCACTCTAATCCCTGCCGAGGTGCCTTGTAGTCATCATCAAAATTTTAACTTAGATGCAAGGAGTATTACACATGTTGTAGGGACCACCAAAAGTTCATGTTCAACATTTGACGAAGAAGCTGGAAGCGGTTCACTTATGCCTAATAATGAAGAAACTTTCAAAATAAAAAGTTCAAGTTCAGAATCATCTTCCATTTTCCCCAAGTCAAAGAGAAATGGCAGGGCTATCGCACTATCATTAAGCGGAGTTTGTGAAGAGTCAGCAGGTGCTGGAAAAAAAGCATCAGCAAGACAGAAATTGCAAGTTGAAAACGTTTCCAAATGTGTAATCGATGCCGCAAGAGATCCAGAATTTGCTGGAAAACTTCATGCTGTTTTGTCAGAGAATTATGTGACATCAAACCCAGATGTGCTTTTGAATATGAATTCCCACGATCTTGGAGAGGACAAAGTGTTTGCTAAAAATGAATCAGTGAGAGGTGAAAGGGTGATTAATACTTGGCGTCATCCAGAGAAGTTCTTTTCCAAAAAAGAGAAAGCTCTTGTACCATATTCCGGAGTGCAGATATTTAGCAAGGTTTTATGTGACAGCAGCAAAAACCATACTGTTGAAGGGTTGGCAGCACAGCAGATTAAACCGGATTCGGCTGTCTCTAATCCGGGATATAATGTATATTCTAATACTCCAGCAGAGGAATGTATGCTTTTCAAAGGTAGAACTGATGAAGTGATCCATGATGATGATAATGACTTGGGTGCTGGCTGTGCCAATTTGTGTGGCAAGATAGACAAGTCTTCTGTGGAAGTGACAGAAATAGCCTGCAGTAACCAGTCTATTACTAGCAAGAATCAGGAAATGAAAAATGACCCTGTCCTGAGTGGTGTTGCCGAAATTTCATGGGAGGATCTTCAGATTGGTGAACGCATTGGCATAGGTAAGAATTCATTGGTTTTATTTTCGTGTTGAAGGTCTACATCCATCGTTGAGATTAAGAACATGTTTGGGAAGTGTTTATAAATGGTTTATTGGCATAGGTAAGAGTTCATTGGTATAGTTAAGAGTTCATTGGCATAGGTGAGAGTTCATTTGTTTTAATTTAAACCATTTAAATTATAAATAGATAGAACTGAGTGGTGGAGAAATGGGTATTACTTGTGTGTCTCTCAAAATGTGTGGATAAAAAGTGGTTTGGGTGTTTATAAACATGAGCTAAACATAGGCTAAAGGAAGGTGTCTATGTGCCCTTGCTCCATTGCTTCTCTTTTGTGTTGCTTGAGGTGGGTTGAGGGGAGGAGAAGAGGATAATACAGTCACGTGTTGTCCTGATTTCTTTCATAAGAATTAAGTGATAATAAATTGTATTTCCATAATTTCACACATGAACTTGGATCCTTGAATTTATCCTAGTCATTTGATCCTACTTCATAGTTCTTCATGAACTATAGCTCTTTCCGTGAAGTTGGTAAAAATTTATAATTATTTTGTTTCCTAGTAAAAAAGAAGAATATTATGGTGATTTACAAATGTCAACAGAAAGTCCTCCTTTTAGTTGCATTCATTCAATCCCCTCTCTTCCCATTGTCTCAACAAATAGAGTGGAAGAGAACACCTTACTTTGCATGTTTTGATTTTATTTCATCATTAGGTTAACTGAGCTGTCTGTGTTTAACTTCTTACATGCTGCCTTCTTTACCTTTTGTTTGCACCATATTGAAAGGGTTGCTTTTGGCAGTATGCTATTTTCTCGAGTTTGAAATAGTCTGCCTATATTAACATATTTGTTTCCTTTCATATCTTGCAGGTTCATATGGTGAAGTTTATAGGGCAGAATGGAATGGCACAGTAAGTTATGTTTTTATGCATTCATCTAATCTGTTTATAATTCCATTGAAGTAAAACTTTTCATGTTTTTCTAGGAAAAGATGCATTTGTTGTCGGTGATTTGTAGATGATATAGGTCTAGCTGCATTTTCCAAATTTTAATATAGGTCTTCTACTTTTCAAATGTTATAAATTGATATTCAACAAGCTTCCTTGATTGATACTCTTGATGCATGTCGCAAGTTAATGGGAAGATTATGGGCCAGTAAATTTAAGAACTAATATAGTTCTGTAAACAGGCCATGTGAGGATTTATGCGAGTTCTTATTTAATTAATTCATGTTGAGCTCCTTTGATAATATTGGTTTTAGGTAACTGGAATTATTTAGTATTTCAAAATGAAAATGGTTTTTGAGAGATGGAGGGAAGGAGACTTGGCAGTTTAGTTGCAGTAGAACCTTACATCTCTTTTCTTGTATATTATTATTAAATATGATTTTATTTTATATCAGGAAGTTGCAGTAAAGAAATTCATGAATCAAGATATCTCTGGTGTTGCACTCACACAATTTAGATGCGAGGTAAGTGCCAATTTTGATCGACGTGTATTATCCACAAAATGTTAGGAACAAGTTAGTACTTTTGTGATAATTTAACTCTTTGCTCCCTGCTGCTTTATGCAGATTGAGATCATGCTGAGATTGAGACATCCTAATGTTGTTCTTTTCATGGGAGCTGTAACTCGGCCTCCAAATCTGTCCATATTGACTGAGTTTCTACCAAGGTTTATATCTCAATAAATTAAAGATTACTCTTTATTCGAATTTCACAGATATGCCACTATTCATATATTCTAAACTTCATATATCACCACCACTCTAGATCCTTCTCATTTTGTTTGCCATTACCTTTTATTGCTTCGTTCGTTTTGGGGTTGTAGCACTTGTAACAAGGGTAGAATACAACATAAGACATTTTTATTGATTCTCTTGGCGTGTACATGAGGGGAAAAGCCATGAGTCAAGTCCATCTATGGTATAAAGACACAAGTGCCTACGGAGTCTTCAAGCGCTTTCAGTTCTTATTAACTTTTAAAAAGAAAATTCGTCATTAAATGATGTAATGGTTCTGTTTATTCCCCTTCTTCTCTAGCTGTTTCTTATCTGCTTCTTCTCCATATGCAGGGGTAGTTTATTTAAACTGCTGCATCGTCTCAATATCCAAATTGATGAAAAGAGGCGAATAAAAATGGCTCTCGACGTGGTATTGATTGGATAGTTTCTTTCCCCTTTGCTTATGTTATCACACTGTCTTCACATCTGTTGATATGCCAATTTTTGCAGGCCAGAGGAATGAATTACTTACACACTAGTCACCCTATCATCGTGCATCGAGATTTGAAGACTCCCAATCTCCTAGTTGACAAAAACTGGGTGGTTAAGGTTTAATTGATAGAATTTGGTATTGAAATCCTGTAAATTGTGATAATGTGTTTCCCCGTATCTCTTACTGACTTGTGTGCTGTTTTGAAATCCTGTAAATTTCTAGGTCTGTGATTTTGGGATGTCACGTTTGCAGCACAGTACATTTCTGTCTTCCAAGTCAGCTGCTGGAACTGTAACGCTTTTTTGGATTTTGATTTTAGATTTATTTTTTTTCATTTTTCCATGTCTTTATACCCTCCGCCACCCCAAAGAAAAAAAGAGTAAATAAATAATGACAACAGGGAATTATTTACTGATTATATTTTGCAGGCGGAATGGATGGCACCAGAGGTTCTAAGGAATGAGCCATCGAATGAGAAGTGAGTCGATCCTCTCTGTAATTTAATTTCTTTAAAGAATTTGAATGTTTCATTTCAAATCTTGCTGATGTAGCATCTCTGGTTTGTAGATCTGATGTATATAGTTTTGGAGTAATATTGTGGGAATTGGCAACTCTTCGTGTACCATGGATGGAAATGAACTCCATGCAGGTTGTTGGAGCTGTTGGATTTCAGGGTAGGCACCTTGAGATTCTGCCCACTATTGATCCATTGGTCGCAGAGATAATTAGTGACTGTTGGAATCGGTGAGTTCCTAAACTTGAAAGCAAAGAGTGTGTTTCTCAAAGCTTTTATTAGATTACAAGGTATGGGTCCTAGTGGGTAAAAGTTGTGTGTCTTAGAGTTTGACAAGCTTATAAGCAATTATAAGATTCGCCAAACATATCCTTATTCTAGATTGTAATGCCTCGTGGTCTCATAAATATCTTGTTGAGTTGGATGTTTGGACACTTACCTGACTGATTAAGATGAATGATATATTTGTTGCAAAGTGTTAGCCTCCGTAGTTTATAAATAAAAAGAAATAAGTGGTGAATAAGTTGATAATACTTGCAGGTCCATTGAAATGTGTAATTGAAAATGAAGTTTGACAATTTATAAATAATTTATAAATTAGCAAAACAAAGGCTTAGATTGGACTTGCACTGTATAATTTACAAAATGCTAGCTTCTCTCTCGTCTTGAGTCTTGCTTAATATATGCCTTTCTTTGATATTCATTTTTTTTCAAAATACGTTCTTTCTTCTTTTCATTCACACATTCTTCAATAAAATAATATTACACGCAACTTGAAAACTTTTCCTTCATTTTTATCCACATATTCTTTATCAATCTACTATTCCAAAATGCATTCTACACCAAAAATGGGGCTCAAACATGCCCTATGTACAAAACCTACCACAAGTATTATTATCTCTTTATGAAGGTTAACGACTTCCAGTGTTCTACTGCAGAAATCCACAGGCACGCCCTTCTTTTAAGCAGATTATCAGCCGACTGAGGTGTTTGCAGCGTCTAAATTTGCAGAGAGAGACTCGTGCATCTCAGCAGTAAGTGATGCTGTTGTATCAATAATTTGGAGGTTGTTTCCGGACTTAAAGTGGCCGGGACTAGAGGGGGTTTAGTTGGAAACCTCTTTTGTATAAACAAAAGTAATTTGTAAAAGGTTGTCAGAAAAGGAAGTGTTGGTTCATTCGAAGTGGGGACTCAACACAACCAAGTGGATATCCTCCTCGTCGACAGTGGCACAAAGTGCAGTCGGGAGGGTAATGATGGAGAACTGTTGGTGGCTAAACACTTCAGGGTAACTTATGTATGGAAGACCAAAAAAATGAGAAAAAAAAAATATATAGGCTTTTTCGCAATAGTTTAGCGTTAAAACAGGTGTACCATCTATTTGTAAGAAGTCTGTTTAATAAGAAGAGAAAAAGGGTGTTGGGGAATCTGTGGGGATCATCAAGGGAGCAACTGTAAAAATTTGGTCTCTGCTGGTTGTATTCTCCTTTGGGAGAACTTAATGAAAAATGGAACAAATATTTGCCCAAAAAACGTTATTGTACTTTTATATTGTTGGTTTATATGATGTTTTAAGGCATTGATATGCAAAGAGAATTAGTGGGAACTTCAAGTCATCAAGACTCTTCTGCAGCAGAGCTAATAGAAGCCGACTAGCACTTACAAAAGCCAGCCTGACTATGAACAAAGAATAGCACAAGACAATCCCCCACGGACATAAAACGGTAGTAAAGTAGGAGGGTTCTCTACACAGTATCGGAGGTTTGAATCCCCGCGGCAACTGAAAGACAACATTTATGTTAAAAGGTAGATGTCATGTGGTAACAAAGTTATGATGTGCTTTGTCGCCTCTTCGATGGTCTGTCCGCACGTCTTGAAGGGAGGTTCATAAGGAAAAGCACCGCTTCTCGAATGTCCGGTTCAAGTGTGTATAAGTTATGATCGCATCTGAATTTACTTGGGTGACGAACCAAGGAGGAAGGTTGCTACTTCTTAGGATTAGTCAGGCGAAACTCGAACAATTGAGTCAACAAAAAAAAAAAAAAATTAATTAATTAATTTAAAAAAATTTTGGTGATGTCAACTCTCAGGGGAAATGAATAGCCTCCTTTTTCATCCCTCTACATTTGATATGTTTATTTATAATAAGATTCGAGGTTGGTACACGAAAACTTTTACAGCTTCATTTGATGTGTTTTTCGTGCGAAGGAGACGAACTCTTGCAACCATGTCCAATCTGTTGGTACACATGTTTGAGTCCCTTTTTTGGGAGAATAGATCTGGTAGTAGTGATTTTATATTTTATTATTATTATTATTTTATTTTTTTGGAGAACGTAGTTAAAAAGTAGGGAAAAAATTTTGAATTTTCGTTTAAGATTATTTTATTGAGAGAATGTGTGGTTGAAAATGAACGATGGCTCAAACATGGGCTTAATTCTACTTAAACCTCATCATTATTGTAGAACAATAACTTTGATCATTAAATGATACACTATTTCTATCAATTAAGTTGTCATTTTCTTAATTTAATTTAGATTAATAGTATCACATCTTGTGATTATACGTTTTAGTTCCTTAAACAGTATGGTCTTCACTCTCACGTATGCTATTATTTATGAAAATTCCATTTAAAGGTATAATAATAGAGTATAATCTAACTTTGTATCTTTGATAATTTATTGGTTAACTTAAAACATGTGTGTCACGTTACTAATGGTATTTGCTACACATGTAATCTAGGATAAATAATTGAGAGATGCTTGGTGTACAGCACCGGTGTACACCAAGTTACACAGCTATCTCACAACAATAGTGGGGCCCATGATTATAAAATAATCGTGGGGTCCATGATTGTGAGAGAACTGTGTACAAGGTTGTGCACTACTGCTGTACAAATAGCTTTTTCCAAAAGAATTATCTTGGGTAAGAAAAAGGAAATAAAAATTGTTTTGCATAAAAATAAAAAAAAGAAGTAACGTTCTTAACAGAATGATCATTTAATCAAGGATAAGGAACTATCTTGGGTAAGAAAAAAGGAATAAAATTATTTTGAAGTGAAAAAAGTTGTCTTCTTACTTCCTAATAGAATGATCAGAACCACTTGTTCTAAAATGGAAATTTTCCCTCACCCAGTGCTGAATCCACAATCTACTAAGGAAAAATCTATTTGTACGGATTTTTTTGCCCACCTACTTGACAGTTGACATGTGCAATGTTGGCAACAGATGTTCGAGTGCAAAACAAGTTTTTTTTTTTAACAGTCAAATGACAGAATGCCATGTGATATTTTGTCAAGTAGATGAGCAAAAAATTCTGTACACCAAGCATGACTGATCTACCAAAGGACTAAAGGATTGGTGTTGAATTGTCGTATATATATTTATCAAAAGGCAATATCAAGATGATTCCTTCAAGATTAGATGAAAATTAGTGAAATCAAAATTCATTATCACAATATTTGGGGGAGAGAAAATAAATGATCAGAATATATCAGAAATCAGCATTCAGTCTCCTCTTCCGAGCATTTATCTTCAGCTTATTCTATAGATTTTGCTCTTAATAGTGCCAAGGCTTCAGCTTCCCAAACAATTTCAGAATGTTGTGCATTTCTTCACAAATGTTTCTACTCTATGCTCCATATTTCGAAGCTTTCCAGAGCTTAAACGCTACTTCATGTAGAAACCTATCAGCTGGTATAGCAAGAATTCCACCATTCTGCTCAAGATATTTGTTCGTTAATTTTTTTCGTTTCCAACCATGTTTGGATAAGTAACTCTTCTGTTATTTTTAGGGGGGGGGGGGGAGAAAAAGACTTTTACCTTACTATCTAAACAAGCTATTTCAAATTTCGATCAATAAAAACACTTAATTTAAAACTTCACAAATAAACTTTTTAAGCTTGGGAAAACATGTTTTTAGGGGATGGTTATTTCATTGAAGTAGGTAACCCAGTTTTCCGCAATTTTGATAATGTGAGAAATCCATCGTCATGATGGTGATTTCCATTCTTTCAAGATGTTCTATTATCATTGTCAAAAATAAAAAAATCTATTGGCAAACATCATCTGAAAGAGCCAAGTAATGCCATTGGTGTAAAATCTAAAAGAATGTCGACATGTTTTACCTCATTAAAATCCCGAAATGAGAAAACCCTGACCATATCCTTGCGAGTTACAGCATTCTGCCACTGAGCAACTAACATCGGGCAGTGGTGCCTGTAATCAAACACATCAGATTAGAGCATGTGTAGGAAATACTAGATCACAACTACCAAAATTTTACTTGCCTAACATCTGCCCGTGGCTTCCCTCCTTTCATCATGTAACTTTGGCGAGGAAAAAGCAGTGGAACTTCAAAGTTATTCTTCTGTTTAGCATCAGAAACCGAAAATTTTGAATTGTCATCCTCCAGTGCAGTCCCATAGCTAATTATGACAGACATGTGCAACCGAGAACCAATGTCGGTTCCAGGTTGTGCTACGTTCATTAACTCGCCAACCAAACCATTGATGAGTTCTCTGTCTTGCAGATGCATCACCTTTTCATCAGCTCCAACATAAACAAAGATCAAGTCAAATTGGGAGGTATCTAGCATTTTCCCTTCCTGAAATCCAAGCAATTTCAACAGTTCAGAGGCTAGAAGCTGCAAATCAGCCAGGGTATGATCATTGTTGATTAAACCGTCCCATTGCAGCATGGTGATGCCAAGTTTGCCTCCAAAAGATTTCAAGCTTGCATTGCTAGTGATTATAGCAGCTTTCATTCCCAAAAACCTGAAATCAAAATTAAGAAAACCGAATATTAATTTGTTCTGCTTATGATCGTTACAGGCCAAAATTGTAAAGCAAAAGATTTCATCTTTCTGATATAGTTGGCACTGCACGCTTCTTTAGAGATTCATCTTCAATAACTTCTCTCACACTCTGAAGAACAAACAAGGAACCTCAGACTCTGCATCTTCATTTTAATGGCTATCATCTTGATGAGCAAAATTTATAATACATATAATAATTAGTAGAATCGATGAATCTCACCGTATTGTAGCATTCGACAGCATCTAGTAGTTCTGCAAACTCCCTTTCTATTCTTGAGTCCTCTGTTTCTGCAATCTAATCTCTTAAGTAAATTGATGTAGTACAAATGAACATGATAAATATATTAAGAATGACTGTGCATGAAATCTTAAGGGATGCAGGGGAGAATGAACTTAACATATTTAGGGAATAAAAGTACAAAGATGCACTCAAAACATAAGAGTTGAATTGTTGTTGGAAATCTCTCATACGGTTCCCAACACCTACAACTGGGTGGCCCATAGCACTTTTCCACACCACAATCACCAATGATACCAAAGTTCCTTATTTATAGAGGCAGCATGATGCCGAAGGGCTTCGCAATGGTCAAAGGCCAGGAAGATATCTAACGTCCAGATTGCAGCTAGTAATGACAGAAGTAACTATGGTAACATTAACTGAGAGGCTCCTATATACGTAGAGAAGGAGATGGTGTGCTTCCACCTGCTCAACAAAGATTTCTCTTTTCTTTTCCTTTTCATAATTTACTCTGGTTTACGCGTTTGATAAATAAAGCAATGCCGATACCTCTAGAATAGAAACTAGATTAGACTCTGCCATGTCACAATGACACCCAAACTCCGAAATGAGTTCCAAGAATGATTGATGTAAACAGACTCAACTTGGAAACTTCCAATTAATCCAACTTTGGACACATCGGTTTAGTTTATCTTCAGATCGAATTCGGCTCAACATGGTCAGTAACAGACTTCAAATCACGAGCATTTCCAACACTACTCCATCACATAGGTCAGTGAACACGAAGGATAAATGCGCCTTGTTAATTTAGGGAAAGAAAAATGTTGGCAAGAACCATATCAGTAGAAGCATTATTCCCCTTCAGTATCAAGTTATAAGCTTTCCTCTAATCAATAAATTAGGCATTTTAAATACTTATTTCACTTCAATTTCATCAAAAGGTATGGAGGCAAGGCAAATTTACTCTATAAAATTACTGAAATACACTTAAAAAAATAGCAAATTCTAAACATGCACATCTATAGTGTAACAAACAAACAAATATATACATAAATATGGAATCAAATTTTACCAGAAGAAGGGGCATGAGGGAGGGACAAGAAGCCACAAGAGGCCCGAGAATCGAAAGAATGGAGATGGGTCGGGTTCACGAATCGGGCCAACCCGTCTCCGTACAATACCAGTGATCTGCTTGGCTTGTCCGCCATTTCTTTTCCTTTTTTTTTTTTTTTCCCTGAGAATATAGAAAAAAAATTAGAACGACTCAAAAATAGTGAAATGGTTAGTCAAAGGGAACATATACCAATTCTCCGATAGCGTACAAACTACAAAATGTTCGGTAAGAAAGATGGCAACTGTCTTACTTCATAGTTCATATTCTTACGTTAAATTGATAATATTTCACTCGGAAGGGTAGACTTCCTTCCATTTTAATTTCATGAAAGATTCTCACATTTATATTTCAAAACCTCCATGTTCTAATTAATTTATTCTTAAATGTAAAATTCTAATTAATATTAATTAAATGAATGTGAATATTAATTAATTCTTGATAACATGGTCATAGACATGAACGTGAATATGAAATTCTAATTAATATTAATTAAATGAATGTAAATGTTAATTAATGGAGAATAAATTATAGTATTTATTACAGCTCGTAAATTAAATATATATTAAAAAACGAAAAATAAAGTACTATTAAAATAATTGAATTGAATTGTAATAGGCTTATAATAGTTTAAAAAATAATTCTCACTTAATGTAATATTTAATACATTATAGATGTAAATGTTATGCGAATGCGAATGTGAAGTTATAATTAATATTAATTAAATGAATGTTAGCGTATTTTTAGCGTAAATTTGGGTTTTCTAATAAAATCCACCGAACTCCTAAACAGCAAGAAAATGCTCCAAATTTTTAAATATGCTACTAAATTTCTAAAATAAATTAAAAAGTATTATCATAAATTATTATTTTTCAAGGAGATAAATAAAAGCCAACTAATTATTGTTTAGCCCCTTTTTTTTAAAACTCATTTTCAACTATACATTTTCCTTTAAAATAATTTTACATGTAAATCGAAAATTTTTCTTTAATTTTGAACCACTCATTTGACAACAAAATACTATTTTAAAATGCATTTTGACAAAGAAAAAAGTGGTCTCTAACATGTATAGTATGAAGTAAACAATTTAAACTAATAAATAATATATTTTTGAAAAAAAATCACAAAAAGGTTGGGTTTGATTGGATCTACCCAAAAAGTTAACTATTAACTCAAATCAACGATTTTTGAAAATTATTTTTTTATATATTTATTTTTAATCACATATTCACACAATAAAATATTTTACACGTAATTTTAAAAAAAAATCTACTTTTTAATTATACATTTTCCCAAAAATTATTATTCAAAATATTATTTTTTTTTATGAATAATGACCATCGAACATCAATTCCGCTACAGTAACATAAACGAATGATAGATGGGATCGAAAAAGCAAAATGAAAAGAAAAAAAAAGGCAACGTTAAAACCCATAAACCGGCCCAATGTGAAAACCCGCATAATCTCACTACCCACACTTCGTAATCCCAACACCATTTCCTTTTTCCCAAATCTCGCGAACGCTCCGCAGCCAGCACCAAACCTCTCAAACCCTCCGACGCCGACGCCGACGCCGAAAGAAGGCAACTCTACACCACTTGTTTGAACCCACATAATCCCAAAATCGTTTTGTTTTCCCCCAAATCTCGTAAACCCTCCGCGCCACCACCAATTCTTAAAAGTTTTTCAATGCCGACACCAAAAAAATGCATCTCTAATCGCTTTTGTTGCTGCACCAAAAGAATCGAACCTATTCTTCATCTGACACGGTTATCCAACTGTACCAGAAAAATCGTCGGAGGCGTTCGTGAGCTGTTCGGCGACGAGTCCCATCTTCTCCAACAAAATTTATAGCAAGCGATAATAAGTTTGTTGTTAGGTTTACATGGATATAGATCTAGTTGCAAGAAATCAATATTGTTGCATGTAATCACAAGTGATGTTTGCTTTGGTGGATTTTATGACCAAATTCGAACCCGTTGAAACTATGTTGGTGCTGGATTTTATGACGGATGAAGGTGATGGTGGTGGTGCGGGTGTTGTGGGTTGGAATTACAATTTGATTGTCCTGCATCATTAACAGTCTGAGTATGTTGTTTTATCACTTTTATTTCATTAAGGTTGGCAGTTAGTTTTTTGGTAGCTTGAATGGAGTGGTAACTAGAATTTCAATAATTGCAGTGTCGTGTTCGTATTTTGATTAATGTAGATTCATGTTTTGAAGTGGCATTTTACTGCGAAATCCGACTGCCTTTAAGGTTGACATTCAGCTTAATTTGGTAGCCTGAACGGTGTGGGAACTGGAATTACAGTAATTATACACGTGTGTTCGTATTTTGATTAATGTAGGGTCACAATTAATTGCACACGTGTGTTCTTTATTTTGATTAGTTTGGAGTGGCAATTTACTCTGTCTTAAAGGTTGACATTCGATCAATTGTGGTTTAGTCCCTAGTTATGATGGTAGGAAAGAATCATTGAGTATGTCATAGTTGTAGATAAAAGGGGCATTTTTTGCAGTCTGTTTGGAGAAACGCCATTGCCCATGGTGCAAACATGCATTCTTCAAGTGTTTTGAGGTGGAGAAAGAGAGTAAGAGCTTTAGTACAAAATATGGATATTGACAGTGGGTTAGAGATGGTGAAACAAGCGGTGAATCAAGTGCAGTTAGCGTTGATTCGAATAATCATGTGACAAACGAAGGAGCTAAAGTACTATCTACCGTATTTGAATCTCGATGTCGATTAATTGATCAACACGATGTCAAGATTTATGTTATTGTGACAATACGCAAAGGAAGTGCAAATGTGGATGGGGATAAAAAAGGAAAGGGACATGAATGAGTTGTGGTGGTAAATTTAATAACATTATTTCACTTATGTATTTCATAGATTACTAGTTTGAATTGGGTGTACTAGTTAAGTAGTGTACTTTTGTAATTGTAGTCCCTTAATGAAAACTCGATTTCCATTGTCTGCATGGTGCTGTTGTCTTTTTTGAAGTGCAGTGTGGATGTATGTTTTCCAGGCCACACTTGTTCTAACATGCCTATATCTTGGAGTACATAATATCAAGGAAAATGAGATTTCATTTGAAACTTGGATGTTTTAAAACAATTCATTTCCCACTTCATCCAAATAATTTGAAAATATCTCATAACAACTAATTGGTAACCATGACATCATTTATAGTTTAAAACAATTCCCTTTTCCACTTCATCCAAATAAGTTCAACACAATAATCATGACAACATCTATATTACATTCAGTACATCCCCACAACTAATTGGTTATCCATAGAGGTGGGCAAAACTCGATCGAACCCATGAAACCGCCCAAATCGAACCAATTCGATCGGTTTGTACTGATTTTTTGTTGTTTTTAAGTGGGTTCAATTTTTTGGTTGTGTGGGCGAGTTGAGTTGGGTCGGGTTATGGGTTAACCCATGAAAACCAAATAAACCCGCTCAACCCGGTCCACTTACTTTAAAAAAGAAAAGAAATAAAATAAAATGCACTTTGTTCTTTGTAGGTTCCGCTAATGATAATTTTATTTATTTACCATTTAATCTTGTCTATTCGAATTTAGTATAATAGAAAATTAGATGACTTTAATCTTTATCGACAAATTGTCCCAAATCGACCAACCCAACCTGACCGATACTTGAGCGTATTAGGTTTGGTTGGGTTAAATTTTGATCAAACCGATCATGTTGGATTGAGTTTAGGTTGAGGCAAAAATCGACCAAACTCATGTCCACTCCTAGTTATTGATTAATTGAATTAGCATAACAATTGAAACTTCAAACTCAATGGCTCTCCCACTTCATATGTCACTCGCTAGATCTTCCATACATTCCCCATTCCAATACCTATAGCAAAACCAAGGTTAGTTGACGTTAAATGAGAAGAACAATTGATAAGTTCATAATAATTTGTATTTACCAGATATCTATTTCTGTGTTCATGAGTCCAGCATCATGGGTTTTCCACCATTGTTAACAGGTAAATATGGAACATAGTAACCTATTGCATGATATACTGTACACCGTGAATATTAATACCCAACCCGAAAAATATGAAGCAACCTCGACTAATTAGAATGAACCCAATTACCTTGACCATCCGGTGGATCGAACTAGATGAATGTAAGTGTTGTGTAAACTCAAGGCTTTGGTCTGCACCCTACATGGAAAAATGTTAAATTTATCAGTCATACGTTTCTGTACAAAGGAAACTTAATCATGTATACATATATACTAACCATTAGAAGTTGTGAATATGAAAATGGAATCATCATTGAATGTTGTGTTTGTTGAGTTGTCGGAAACACAATTACACCATCTTCAATATTACTTTTGCATGTCTTGGGTTTTTTCCCTTTGGTTGCACTACAACCTGCCTACATCACGTGTCTAAATTATTCTTTCTTCGTATTCTACACGAACTAAAAACACCGATATGACTTCCAAATAATGTAACTTTAGCTTTATTTGAACTCGATTCCAATGGGGACTTATTCTGAAGTTTTTTAGGAGTGCCATTTCTCGTTACTTATTTTAGATCTCGTACTCTACCGCATCTACTACCATTATCCTATGATGCCGCACACTCAGATGCTAAATCCGTAGTATGCATGGACAGGACATTACTCCCGCAACTTAACTTCGATGTCGCCATCTCTTTACACTGAACTTTGATCCATTCCAATATAGAAAAATATTTCACATCATCATCACAAGTGATGTTTGCCAACGTAGCGAATGATTTAACCATCTTGTCGTACATCAATTGTGTAGGGGTACTAACCAACCCGTCATAGTTCACTACAACCCTTGTGTGGGACCTGATCATATCTCTCTGCCATCTCTGTAAAATATATTTATCTGGCAGTGTTTTGACGTCATTGCATATTAGTACTATGATCACATGCCTGTATAGGATTCCTGGAAACTCAAATAAGTGGCAGCTACACATGATTTCACATTTGTCATCGATTCCGAGACAATTTTTTTCCTATAATGATGGTCATTTATAATATCTTTGCGTAACTCGTACATCGTCCTCGAACATAATTCCTTAACAGATATGTGCTCGCAATATACATTGCCGACGAACTCCTTTTGAAGTTTTCTAAACTTTTTAATTGTGTACACTTTTGGAATTGCTTCTTCACTTTTTACCACGTTACACTAGGTACCATCTGCTTGAAATTCATTTTCAACCTTATTTCTCAACACCTTTTTATACTGTTTAACAAATTGCTTCAACAAGGTTTTCGAAGCACATACCCGTCAAAAAATGCATTAATACTCACTTCGTTGAGTTGTTGACATATCTGTCCAAAAAGTGGTTCTCAAATAGCAAGGTACACAACGGGCTCTATTATCGTAAACACCTGACAACATTCATTGTCCTGCAAATTATGCGTTTCTATCATCTCTATCTAACCTTTTTCAAATTCTTCAACAAATTGATAATCATACACCAATCCTTGTATAGTATAGAATATCGAAGCTTTGTCAACGTGAAATCCAAACTTTTTTGGCAACTTTTTCAATGCGCGTCACAAACACTACCTTTGCTTCGTACTAGGGAACGCGATCCGGATTGCATTTTGCATTACTTTGTCTCGATCAGTAATTATCCCATTGGGAGTTTGGCCGTTAATGCACTATAGCCATGTCTCAAAAAGCCACACAAATATATCAGTATCATTTGATATAAGACCACATTCAAGGAGTGTCGAATGTCTGTGATTATTCACTCTAACAAAAGGGACAAACATCATATCATACTTATTTGTTAGGTATGTGGTATCGAATGTGACAACATTGCCAAACTCCATGGATGCTACTCTACTCATATTATTTGCCCAGAAAATATTTTTCTGACACGACTCTTTATCAAAATATATACTGAAGTAGAACCCAGAACATCATGCTTGCATAGTCGAAAAATATGATTGTACTGCTGTGGTGTCACCTTTTCCAAGTCTTAACCTCCTCACTTGTTCGACATTGTTTCAACAGTCCTTCTCCACGCAGATCATATTCTCATATACACCTGTTTCGACAACTACGGAGTTGTAACTTTTGTTTAGCGGTATTCCTGCAATGTCATTTACTTCAAGCCACTATTTTACCTAAGCACTTAACTCTCCGTTGCATCGATACAAACTTGATTTTGAAGGACTTGTTCTATGGTTATGATCGAGATGTACTGCATTAATTTTCCAAATCCACAAATATCTGAACATGCCATCAGTCTGGCTTTACCTCCACTCAGCATGGTAGCGATGGCTTCAGAGAAACGCTTGTATTATTGACTTTTTTTCCTTTCACAGCTACAAACAAATGTAACATATCACATAATTCCATCATCATCCTTTTTCAAATCTCTTTTTCCCACTGAAAAACCCAAGTCGTATGCATATATTTTATGAAACTCGAAATTTTTTGTTCTTAAACTTCATGCCCATCTCAGACACAATCGCACCATCCCCTCATATTGCACCATCACCCAGTAATTTTGTACTGTCACTGACATTCTCGTTATCTGACTCCACCAACATGACGGCTTGGAAGTCATCCGGGATTTATTTCCCTACGACATGAACCCAATCAAAACGTTATTTATAGCCCTCTTACAATGAACTGCTTTACAATTGATGCAACATATTCAGTTACGGTCATTTATAACATTTACAAATTTGGCTTCTTATGAGTTCCTTTTCAAGAAGAGGAAACCCGATACAATCATGATATTTTCACTTCGCTTATGTATCTATTCTCCGGTACTAGATGAAGCTGGGGGTATTAATAGTGGTATATTCTTTCAAAAATTAAAAAAAAAAAATCCTTTATAAATCATGCTGCTTATTGTCATGCTTCTACTTGCTGTAAAAATGGAGTTTGACCCATTCAACCAAAGAATAAAAATAAATTTCAGATTTTACCTTCTTTTGTCAACTTTAACCAGGCAAGCGACGGTGGCCGGAGGTCAGAGCTACCGACAGAAGCGAAGGTGGCCAAACGGTCGGAGAAATCGAAGGTGTGGCAGAATCGAAATCAACCAAATGGTTGGAGCTAGCCAGAGATCGAAGAGACCAAAACTGCAGCTGCGTGGAGTCACCGTGGAAAGGAGAAAAAGCTATAAAAAAAAATGTGTGACTGTGGAAATGGAAAACCAGAGAATGAAAAAAAGTGAAAAATGGACATTCAATGACTGAGAGTCTGAGATGAATGTAGAAAGGATAAGAGTTTAATTGGAGTGGGTCACATTGTTGAAAATTTCATTTGTTTTTCATTTTTTTTTTTTAGTTTAATCCACGTCATTCTATCGCTTACACCCTGTTTGATCCACATTCTTAACAAAATTCATTTTCAACAATACATTTTTCGATAAAATAATATTACACGCAAATTCAAAACTTTTTCTTATATTTTAATCACATATTTTTTTTCAAATTACTATTTAAAATGTATTATCCACTTAAATGTACATCAAACTTGACCTTTAATTTGATTTTATCGGATTGACAATTTTTTTAGTAACAACAGTGTCTGCCATTAATTATGGAATTGAATTAGATTACAATGATCCAAGTGTATATGTGTAATGTGTGTGTGCATGTATCGTGTATGTATTTCTGGTTATAATCACGTGAGGTCACTTCCAACTACTTCGACTGCACTCTAACTTTCTATCTCTACAATTTTTCGCTTCCAAGTGGCGCATTCTGGCAGCGACCACCGACATACACGCGCACCTCAGAGTCTTAACGTGCGCCGGGGCTGTGTACCGTGCGCCGGCGCCAATGACTAGATCGTCATCTACACGACTCTTAGGTGCTATCATTTTACTCCTCATAGCTTCGCTACCGTTCGCCGCCGTGTCAGGGGATTCGCAGCTGCTCGACGGAGGTGACGCCAATGCCACATCCGGCGGCAACCGGACTCGGCCGAAGGAAGACACATTTGCTGACATGATTGATCGTGCTCTAGAGAAGGAGTTCCCTGAGAATGAGGATCAGAACGAAGGTTTTTTTTCGCAGATCTCAATTCTCAGCTAAATTTTACTCTTAACTATTATTGATGCTGAATTCCTTAAAAGATTGCTTTCGAGTTCTTAAATCCTCGACCCTTAAATACCTTAGATAACTATTAGAAAACGTTATATTACAATTGTTGGTTAATTAGCGTCTATATTGAGCTCTGTTGGGGTTTGTATGAAAGACTCGAGGTATTCAATGTTACAGTATGATTTGAATTGCTTTTGGTGGGTTAGAAATCAAGTCCTTTAGTTTGACTAGACCGAGTCAATGCATACTTTATGGCTATTGTAAGATTTCAATTCAAGAGGTTTTGATACGTTTTCCACGTGATTTTAAGTTAGATGAGTTTCTCTAAGAAGGAACTAGATAATGCATATTCCTGAAGTTGATTGGGTAAGTTTAGGGTTCAGGAGATTGGTTGTTCCACTTTCTTCTAAGAGTGTAGATTGATTCTAGTTAAGAAGAACTTCTCTAAGAAGGGCCAAGATAACGTGGATTTGGAAGTTTATTGGGTTTAGCATTCAGGAGATTGGTTGTTGGTCGGTCTTCTTGTTCTTCTATTATAATCTAACTTATTTGTTTTTCGTGTATATGGATAAAAGGCTAGATAGAGAATAGGTCTCTGTTGGACCGACGTGTGTTTTCACATCACTTATCAGGCAATCATATTTGGAGCTTTTGTGGTACCTACATTATGACTAAACCCTGATTTCTTCAACTTGATTGCATGTGCTGAAATTTCTTTCATTCAACCCTGTCATAGGGTTGAGTTGACAGAATCTGGGTTCCCTTCCACCAGCAAAAAAATTTTTTTTTAACAAGGTTTACCCTAAAAGCAAGTTAAGGAGGGAAGCCAATGTAGGTCCATAGATGGCCTTTTCTTTCTCACTGTGAAGATTGCCTAACATACTACCAACATTTTCAACAGACACTGTGCACAAAATGAACAAAAACGTATGAAAATTGAGGAAGACTTTTTTAGTTTAAGGTATACACGACATTTACAACTTATAAAGGAGAATTCCTTTTCTACAAAATTTAGAGGACCTTTTCCATTTCATCCTTTTAGAAGAAGGCCTTTTAAAAAATCCTTGTTATGTATTTGAGTCTTAATATCAACAGGAGTTTCATTATTTAACATACCTTTTCTATGCTTTACACGGAGAGAATGGTTGTGTTATCAAAGGATTTTTCCTAAGTTATGTATTTGCATGAACTGGCAGCAAATGATGCAGGTGGCTTCAACAACAGCGTGACAGAGAAGCAGGTTTGTGATGATGCACCCTTTTTACTTTTCCATCACCGTTTCTTCCCTTTATTTCCGTGAAAATATTTTCAGTCTTTATAGTAAGTTTGGAACTGTTGGCTTTTTCCAAGGCTGGTATTGTAGTTTGTTATAATACCTGGACCATTGCCAATATTCAAATCCTCTAGCAAAATATACAGGAACTCTGAAAATGAAAGTAAATAATCTGCTGTTATCTATTGAAAAAAATTTAATTGAACTCCTATTAGGAATGGGGTGACTTATGAAGAATATGTACGACCCGTGCTTATTGTGTAATGGCCACAGTAAGGTATTGGCAATAAAGGATTTATACCAAAACATTTTACAGTAGTAATGGGGATAAGATATTTTGAGCAGAGTTTGTTGGTCCTTTTTCTTTATTAGAAGAACTTGACTTGCACAGTGGTCTTGTTGCATTTAGCTGCCTTATGTATTTCCTCCATCAGGCAGTTTTGGAGACTGTAGCTAGAGTCAAGACGAAGAAAAATGAGACAAAAGATGAAAAGTAAGTATTCCTTAATTTCAATTGAGGATTTTTTACTCTCTTATTCACTTTTAATTAATTTCCAGTTTCCTGTTATTTATAAAATTGACTCCTTTTGCAATTGGTTCTAGATCCTTTAAGCTTCATCATGTTTTCAATCTGGATAACGACAATGGAGTTGAAGAAACTCCTACACTTATAGATAGAAAGGTAAAAAATGAAATTGATTGTCCTTCATGCTTTTGCACATGTCATATGTTCTCCCCTGATGCTTAATATTATAAAAGAAAAGACAAGATTTAAAAGATCAACCGGCAGTATTTATGCAATTGAAATATAATTATACTGTTGTGAGCAAATAATGAATGAATCTTGTGATATATGGTCAGGACAACGTCTTTATTATATCAAATTTCAAATCTAAATATCCAGTGCTGCAGTTAGACTTGAGGTAAAGTTGAGTGTGATTGGTGCCTTTGCTTATTTTACCATGCTGGTTTGCCTAACATTGTAAGTTTGTAGACTTATATCAGATCTGGTTGTTGTCATTGTGTCTGCAACTTGTGGTGGAATTGCTTTTGCTTGTGCTGGACAACCGGTTTGTTCACAATCCCTGACTGACCATATTTAATTGTTCTTGTGCAATTTCTTTCGTTCATTGGATCTCTGAATTTTCTAATTTCCAAAACTTGTTGTCAGGTTATTACTGGATACCTGTTAGCGGGATCTATTGTTGGACCTGGTGGTTTCAATGTAGTCAGTGAAATGGTGCAAGTATGTAGCTTTATTTAGAAAATTACATCTCAAAGCTACTTTCTTTTGGATGTCTCTGCATGATGGTTGGTTTCTAGGGCATTATAGTTTATTGTGAAGGATGTAAACAGCCACGTGCTCTGATTCGTAGTTCAAATATATCTATGACACTGTTTTCATAATTTTTATTATGTATTACAGATCATACACTTACCTTCTGCCCAATTGTATGTTGTGGTTTAATTTCACATGCATATATGCTTTGGAATTAAGTATATGGGACTTTCTGCACTTTTCCATCTATTATCGTTTATGTGTATTATACAGGGGGGTTCAAGACCGTTTGTTTTCTAAACTTTATTTGTCAAAATAAAAGAGGTACTAATAAAATTTAGGTAGCTTGGTTTAGAAAGATATCAATGAAGTTGGAAAATCTCAAAAATGGAAGAGGCATCATCTGGTGCAAAGGGACTAACTGACGTTTAAATAATTCCATCCTTGAATGATTGTTATCTATTTTATCATCTAAAGCAATACCAACTCTTTGCTTTTTAAGATGAGCACTTAAGGTTAACGGCATAATGCAACATGCACTTTTAAGGAATACTCGAAACATAAAAAATGATCCAAGTGATTGGCTTTTTTTTTTTTTAAACACAATCCCATTGTCCATTTACTTGTAATTGCTTTTTGTGTGATTAATTCAACCAAGATCAATTCAATTTTTTTCTGCTTATGTGAGATTACTCATCACTTCATCTTGATGCATTTTGTGCATTTAGGTCGAGACAGTGGCTCAGTTTGGTGTAGTTTTTCTTCTTTTTGCTCTGGGATTGGAGTTCTCCACAACAAAGGTTGATCATTGCTCGTATATTTCTTCGTACTTTTTTCTTTAGTTCCCCTATCTCCCTGTTGGATAAAATTGAAGTGACAGTCTTTTTTAAAAACTATGATTGCACTTTTTCATAATTACAGCTTCGAGTTGTTCGAGCAGTTGCAGTTCTTGGAGGCTTACTCCAAATTCTCCTATTTATGTGCCTGTGTGGAATTATATCCTCGGTGCGTATGACATTGGACAATACATTTTAATTGTGATGTGGTGCTGTACATTTCACGTTCAAAAAATTTTAGAAGTCCAACTTCGTTTAGAATTAAGCTACCTGTGGGGATTATGTAGATTTTAGCCATGATAACAGCTGATTTGGCGTTTGAATTGAATGAGCATATAAGTTCAAATGAAAAGGTGAAAGGTTACCAACAGAGATGAGCCATAAAACCTCCAAGTATATCTCCAAATAGTATATATCTCATGGGTTCTTAGGTTAACTTTTGTGGTGAGACTAGATGTTTTAATCCTTGCAAGCTGGTTTGCTATGGGTGTGACTTGAATGTGCTCACTATAATCCTCAATATTCAGTGACTACAGCATGATTAGTAGTATGCACTTCACTAGCCCAAGTCCATGCACCTGCAGCTCGACCTACTATCTGAAATGCATGTGCAATTGCTTTAAATGCTACATTTCTAGCATCAAATTTCAATTTGGTTTTCTACATGATTGTGAGACGAGGTTTCTCAAACCATTTACTAGCAGATAGAGATAGTTAAATTCTACATTTTTGAAGTTGGTTCTAGTGCAGTCAGTTTGTTTGGTAACATCAAATTTATCTTTGTATCATCTCCTCCCCTTCGGATTACAGTGGATAATTAGGAGAAAGTTGAGCAATAAGACATAAGGTTAACCAAGTTGAGCAAGCAGAGCAACTGAGCCAAGCTGTGTCACGAGCTCTGCTTGAGACAAGCCTTGTGTTGACTTGATATTTCTTCTGCCTGACCCTCAAGACAGCTTCCAATGGGCTCATGAGCTTTTAAATTTTTTAGTCATGATAGTGAGTTGTGTATTTAATTTTTCAATGGTATATATATAATTATTTCTATAAGAATAATTGTTTATCAAAGACATAAATTTATTTATTTTTGCAAAGCTACAATAACAAGTACGTAGCTCGAAGTCAATAACCTTTAGGTCAGCTCCTGCGTCGAGATATTGGGGTTGATTGAACCAAAGTCGTATATACATCTTCCTCTAGCTTGAACACTCTCAAAGTTCGACTCTCTGTTTCAGCTCTATTGAGCTTCACGCCGAAGGTTAGGTCTGTGAATCTGCTCCTCTTAGAGTTGCTAAGGTGGACTCTCTGAAGGAAACCCTTTATTAGTAAGGTTAAGGATAAATCACAAAAACTGAAAGAACTATAAAATCAAAGTTTGAACTGAAATTAGGATCTATTTTCCAGTTTTACCATGTATGCTGTATGTTAATATATATGTGATTTATTCTTGCTCTGGGGCTTCATCCTTTACCCAATCTCATAATGCAACACCACTAGTGAAGTTAGTTATCGAAGTCTTGCCTTGCTTTGGCTTTGTCATTGATAGTGACATTGTTCAATCCTTGCCGTCTCTGTGCTGCAAACTTATGTAATTTCACTTCATTATTATGCAGTTATGTGGAGGTAGAGCTTCGGAGGGCGTGTTTATTGGTGCCTTTCTCTCAATGTCATCTACAGCAGTGGTAAGCTCTCTCGGTAGTTCTGTCTTAGTTTAATGTGCTTTTACCACAGAATTAATGCAAAGTTTTCTCCAATGCTCAAAATTTCCTGCTTATAGGTATATAAATTTTTGATGGAGAAGAACTCTACCAATGCCCTTCATGGTCAAGTTACCATAGGCATTCTCATTTTGCAGGTTTCTTGATTATCTGATTCATCATATATATCTTGCCCTTAAATTACCAAATTCTTCTGAAAATACATCTATTACTCAGTTTTGAATAATAAACTTACATCTTCCTTTATTTAAATGATGTTTCTCTATATTTTGAATTGCAATTGAAGGCTTCAATCAACAAGACCTTTACTTTTGAACTCTCATTTTCTAAAATCCCCATTTTCAGGACTGTGCTGTGGGGTTACTGTTTGCTCTGCTTCCAGTCCTGGGTGGAACCTCTGGTGTTCTGCAGGGAGCAATATCGATGACTAAATCGTAAGTTCATAATTGCTACAATGGGTTGTATATATTGATCTATTTCACGAGTAATATGAAACCTTGGAAGCTTTTTTACCAGAAATTGTCGTGTTAGTTTCTTTCATTAGTTGTGTTGGAAAGGGGAAAGCAGGAATCTTTAGTTGTTTGAATTTTAAAAGGAGATTTTGAAAGGATTAGTTGTTTGAGAAAGTGAGTTAAGCTGTCAAAAGGAGTTCAATATTTTCATTTTAGCTGCTTTCTATATTTGGTCATGTAAGGATGAGGTGTACGAAGTGGCACAAATAGACATACTTCTTCCTTGAGTTACAACTATTCATTTTTCTTTTAATTTCCTTCCTTCCTCCCTCCGCAATCCACTTGTTCCCACAGGAATGGAAGGAGTTACAGTTTCACCCTTTATGAGCATTAAATCTCATGCCTGTTAAACAGCATTCTAATTCATCTATCAGCCAGGTTGGTGGTGTTGATCGCTTTTTTGGCTGTTTTATCAATATTGTCGCGGACCTGTGTACCTTGGTTCCTCAAACTTATGATTAGCTTGTCATCACAGGTGTGAATTTCTCGCGCTAAAGATAGTCATTTAAATGATATGCTGCATATCTTTGAACAAGTATGTGCATGCCTCTTATGTTTCAGATTTACTTTATCTGTGACACAGTATTTTCCCTCTGCAGACCAATGAGCTTTATCAGTTGGCTTCGGTGGCATTTTGCCTACTTGTAGCTTGGGTTTGTCTTCTGTCGATTGTTTAAATCTCTTTAGAGTTACTTCAATGTTAACATTTGCATGCTATATATTATTGATGTGCATTATATTTTGTATTGAACCTTCACTGTAGCTTTCTATTTGTCTTTCATGTTTAATCAAACACTGCTGAGACACAGGTTTCTAAGGAGAATTTTGAACATAAAAGTAGTTAATATTTTGTCCATGGATTCAAATTTGTGTTGCAACAAAAGGCCAATGCTGCAATGTTGAAATTCTAACTCTGAATCTTCATCTTTAGAACTCACTTTTGCATTGCAGAAGAACATTCTATTGAATGCCTAGTGAAACCGTTGCGTTTTGTCAATATCGCCGTTGATTTGGATGGTCCTTGAGAATTGATTGGTTTAGTTATCTCATTCTTTGCTTAATTCCAGTGTAGTGACAAGCTTGGTCTAAGTTTAGAATTGGGTTCATTTGCTGCTGGAGTGATGATATCGACTACGGATCTCGCTCAACATACTCTTGAACAAGTAAGGTTATTGTTAGCGCTACTCTTATTATCAGAAACACGTGGAAATATATGATTTCACAATTTTAAATTTCTTATCTTCCTGCTTGCACTGAACATTTAATCGTGTTGGAAATAAATTTATTGCAATTATAATGTGTATTTACATCTAATTTATTCACCTTAGTTTAATATATCATTGCTAGAGTTCTATATTTCAGTCTGTCTACATCTCTTTACAAAAAGATGTTTTATGCCTCTTAAAAATAACAAAAAAAATCGCTGTTTTCATTCGACATCTGATTTAAATTTTGTTACTGGTGTAGGTTGAACCGATTCGAAACATGTTTGCTGCTCTTTTCCTGGCTAGCATTGGGATGTTGATCCATGTTCATTTTCTATGGAATCATGTTGATATCTTACTTGCATCAGTTATATTAGTGGTTATTGTTAAAACCGTTGTAATTTCCGTAGTTGTCAAGGGATTTGGCTACAACAACAAAACTTCATTACTTGTAAGATTCTACAGCGTTGTTTAACTATATTTTTATGCTTTATCTTACATATAAATTCCATTGACTAGGGAAGCCTTTGTCCTTGAGCCATGTAGGTTGGTATGTCTTTAGCACAAATCGGGGAATTTGCATTTGTATTGCTGAGTCGTGCTTCAAATCTTCATCTTGTTGAGGTAAATGCTGCTAATGAAGTTTCCTAAAACTCCCTCACCCGCTTCTCGCCCATGACCTGGATCGCCATATGATTTTTTTATGTGGGCTTATTTGCCTGGCAAACTTTCTAACCAGTACTATAGCGGTTTGTTTCACTTTTGAGTGAATGATTGAAATGAATTTGAACCCTTTTCAGAGTAAAGTGTACTTGCTGCTTCTTGGGACAACTGCTCTTAGTCTGGTATGAAATCATTTCCAGTTGAGCTTCTTGTACAAATTCTGTGCTTGTGAACTATTTTATATGCCTCAATGTTTCAACGTTCAGATTTATTGCAAACATTCTGATGGCACTGTTTTCATACATGTCTGTAACTGTGTAGCACCCCTTCTTTACT